ATGGTTGTTATAACCATAGTCATGGTTGTTATAATCAAGGTCCTGGTTGATATAATCATGGTCGTGGTTATGATCATAGTCGTGGTTGTTATAATCATGGTCATGGTTGTTATAACCATAGTCGTGGTTGTTATAATCAAGGTCCTGGCTGATATAATCATGGTCGTTGTTATAATCATAGTCGTGGTTATTATAATCATGGTCGTGGTTGTTATAATCATGGTCGTGGTTGTTATAATCATGGTAATAACCATAATGGTTATAATCATGGTCGGTTGTTATAACCATAGTTTGTTATAATCATGGTCGTGGTTGTTATAATCATGGTCGTGGTTGTTATAATCATGGGTTGTTATAATCATATAATCATGGTCGTGGTTGTCGTGGTTGTTATAACCATAGTCGTGGTTGTTATAATCATAGTCGTAGTTGTTATAATCATGGTCGTCGTTGTTATAATCATGGTCATGGTTGTTATAATCATGGTCATGGTTGTTATAACCATAGTCGTGGTTATTTATCATGGTCGTGGTTGTTATAATCATGGTCGTCGTTGTTATAAGCATAGCTGTGGTTGTAATAATCATGGCGTGGTTGCTATAATCCGCGTTAAGTGGTTGATATAATCATAGTTAGTGGTTATGATCATGTTATAAATTAGTTGTTATAACCATAGTCGTGGTTGTTATAATCGTCATGGTCGTGGTTGTTATAATCATGGTCGTGGTGTTATAATCATGGTCGTGGTTGTTATAATCATGGTCATGGTTGTTATAACCATAGTCGTGGTTGTTATAATCAAGGTCCTGGCTGATATAATCATGGTCGTTGTTATAATCATAGTCGTGGTTGTTATAATCATGGTCGTGGTTGTTATAATCATGGTCGTGGTTGTTATAATCATGGTCGTGGTTGTTATAACCATAGTCGTGGTTGTTATAATCATGGTCATGGTTGTTATAACCATAGTAGTGTTGTTATAATCATGGTGTGGTTATTATAATCATGGTCGTGGTTATTATAATCGTCAGGTATAGTTTGTTATAATCATGGTCGTGGTTGTTTATAACCATGTTAGTTATTATCAGTTGTTATAATCATAGTCGTGGGTTGTTATAATCATGGTAAGTTGGTTATTATAATCATGGTCATGGTTGTTATAACCATAGTCGTGGTTGTTATAATCATGGTCGTGGTTGTTATAATCATGGTCGTCGTTGTTATAAGCATAGCTGTGGTTGTAATAATCATGGGCGTGGTTGCTATAATCACGGTCGTGGTTGATATAATCATGGTCGTGGTTATGATCATAGTCGTGGTTGTTATAACCATAGTCGTGGTTGTTATAATCATAGTCATGGTTGTTATAACCATAGTCGTGGTTGTTATAATCATGGTCGTGGTTGTTATAATCATGGTCGTGGTTGTTATAATCATGGTCGTGGTTGTTATAATCATGGTCGTGGTTATAATCATGGTCGTGGTTGTTATAATCATGGTCGTGCTTGTTATAATCATGGTCATGGTTGTTATAATCATAAATCATAAAACAAAAAAATTATTATGAATCCCTGATGATCATTCCGAGATAAATTATATTATGAAGAGAAGTGACCTTGATTCTGGTTAGATTAGTCACCATCTGCTTAAGTCATCACCTGTGTTAAGTCATCATAGTCATCATCTACATTAGTCAGTTTTAGGCCCATCTCATATGACTGACCGACCAACGATGTTCTTTCCGCGCGAGGGTATTGAGTCTTATTATTTACGCTGGTGGATGTAAGACCTCCTACCCTCACTGACGCAGCTATGGTCAATTTGGTGTTATTCTTGTTTATAAATGCCTTCTAATCTGTCTCAAGTCTATCCGTCCTGTCTATTGCCATCCCAACTGTCTGTTCGTCTGCGTGGTGTTTGAATGTAAGCCCGTCTTTACTAATGTGAACCAGTTGTCAGCTGTCTGCCTGTCATTTTAGTTGCCATATTGTCTATTTGTGCATGTATGAATCTGTCTATTTTTGTCAACCTCCTGTCTGTTTCACTGTCTATATTCACCCTGTAAGGTCGTCTGGTAACGTTGAAACTGCGCATCCAGACGCATGATGAAACTCAGCTCCCCCCCCTCACCTGTTCTTTATTTATTCTTCTATTTACTCATCTTCCTTCCTTACTAATCCAAACATTAAAAAAAAGTAGGCTAAGAAAAAAGTGGGGGGAGGAGGAGGGAGCCGTACGATAACTGCAATCGTGGGCTGGGTGCGCCAAGTCCGTAGCCTTGCACCATTTTCCAGCGTAAATAAAATGGTTGTGTAATGGCTTCCTAAAGAAACAGTCGATATGGAACCAGGTTTGTTCCACTGTATGCATTTTTTGCGAATTTTCCACCAACTTTGATGAAAAACGATTGTGCAGTTTCGGCTCCCCAGAGCAGACACACACACACACGCCTAGCGCTATAGTATATTAGATAATCTATGTTAAAAATTAAAAATTTTACATTATTAAAAAATTAATGTACAGTTGTACCCCACTTAACGCGGTCAATAGAACCCAGAAGGTCCCGTGTTAAGTGAAATCCGCGTTAAGTGAACAACAGAACATATGGGATTAATTCCAATAGAAACCGGCCCGACCCCCAAACTCCACTTTTTGAAGGCACATACCTATGTTGTAGTAAAAATAACATCTTAATTTTATGATGGTACATGTACACAATTAATACTTAAGAGAAATAGAGAAATACAGTCGCCAAGTTAATGTCCATTCAAATAATGGACTCAACTCCTCCCCCTCTCACACTACACTGCCGGCTCTTCCCTCTCTGAGAAATTTTTGGGGGAAAACCACTAAATTTTAATAAATAATACCTCAAACTAAAGTTAGGATAATACAATTGACATTGCTGGATTCCTTGTAAGACCAGGAATATTTTGAATATAAATGTCATATATTTTGCACAAAAGATAACATAGTTACCTAGAGAAAAATTTTATCTAAAATTTGTATGTTTAATGCAAAATATATGATGTTTATATTCAAAATGATCACCAAATTATAAGAATTCCAGCAATGTAAATTATATTCTGACCGGGTAATTTGTATGAATTTTATGAGCTAAAACAAATATCTTCAGTTAATAAAAAAAAAAATAATCTTCACGACACTATCTGTCAATCAAAGTACCCCACCTTGCCTCCCCCCCTCTTCCAACCGCGCGGTCAGTCCCAACCCTCCCCCCCACCCCCCACCAATCCTCCCTTCAAGAGTTTTTAACATTTTGTATTAAATAATACCTCAGATTAAAGTTAGGATAATATAATTGACATTGCTGGATTCCTTGTAAGACCAGGAATATTTTGAATATAAATGTCATATATTTTGCACAAAAGATAACATAGTTACTCTGAGAAAAATTTTTATCTAAAATTTGTATGTCTAATGCAAAATATATGATGTTTATATTCAAAATGATCATCAAATTATAAGAATTCCAGCAATGTAAATTATATTCACACCGGGTAATTTGTATGAATTTTATGAGCTAAAACAAATATCTTCAGTTAATAAAAAAAAAAAATATTCTTCAGGGGTAACAGATGGTCGGTCGGTCCCTCCCTCCCCCCCACCCCCCACCAACAGTCCCAAGGAGATGTGTGGGAAAACCAGAATACTTAACTTTTTTGTAATAAATAATACCTCAAACTAAAGTTAGGATAATATAATTGACATTGCTGGATTCCTTGTAAGACCAGGAATATTTTTAACATTTTGTATTAAATAATACCTCAGATTAAAGTTAGGATAATATAATTGACATTGCTGGATTCCTTGTAAGACCAGGAATATTTTGAATATAAATGTCATATATTTTGCACAAAAGATAACATAGTTACTCTGAGAAAAATTTTTATCTAAAATTTGTATGTCTAATGCAAAATATATGATGTTTATATTCAAAATGATCATCAAATTATAAGAATTCCAGCAATGTAAATTATATTCTGGCCGGGTAATTTGTATGAATTTTATGAGCTAAAACAGGCAGTCAGGCAGGGTGGCAGGTGGGGCAAATCTAAAAATAGCGTCTCGAGCCGGAAAATCACCGCGTATATGTGGAAAAAATCCGTGTTAAGTGAAAGTTCAGCTCTGGCGAGGCACCGCGTATATGATAAAAAACGTTAAGTGAAACCGCGTTAGGCGGGGTAATACTGTATAAATATTTATAAGTGATGAATAAACTTGCTTCATACTGGGCTACAATTGGCTATAAGTTACTACAGGGAAGCTTCATACTAGGCTACATTTGGCTATAAACTTCAGTGCAAAACATTCATTTAGTTTCAGCAAGAATGGCCTTCATTTTTTTACTTAATGTCCTGAAAACTACAGTAATATATTTTCGTTTCAACATGACAGCATACACACTGTACAAAGTGCAGCTTACAACAAACACTTTTACTGTTTCATATGTGGGTGAAAACTACAATACCAATGAGACAATAAATCCTGATCACAAAGATGAAAAATGTAGCAAGACAAACAGACACACAGACTCACAAGGGAAACACTATACAGTGGGGTATGCTATAACGAACGGATCCTACTACGAATATTCCTATAACGAACGGTTTTACCTATAAAATTGAGAATGCTATAACGAACGAAACTCCTACAACGAACATTATTTAAATTTTTTTTTTACTAATTTATTGTTTTTTTATTACAAATATTAATGATATTTTTTATTTCAGGGGTTTAGATGCATATTTATGCACTTTTTTACAATTTTTACAATTTTATATTATATTTTTCAGTGTTAAGTGGTTGTATTTGGGGGCCTGGAACGGATTAATCCTATAACGAACGAATGCTATAACGAACAAGGTTCTAGAACCAATTAGATTCGTTATAGCATACCCCACTGTATAGTAGTTAAGGCAATAAATACATGGTCACACTGCCATTAAATAAATTCAGAATAAATAAAGTTAACAGACCTGAATGATGGTAGGCGACCCCATAAGGTAAGGTCTTGCGCAGTACTGGGCACACAGAGCCACCACCCTCCTCCACCAACGCCCGATACAGCGACACTTTCTCTCTGTTTTTTACCTGAAATTAATAATATGGCAGATATAAGCATAATATATGAAGTGTTACACAAGGGCAGTATGGCACCATAAGTGAAGTGTTACACAAGGGCAGTATGGCACCATAAGTGAAGTGTTACACACGGGCAGTATGGCACCATATGTGAAGTGTTACACAAGGGCAGTATGGCACCATAAGTGAAGTGTTACACAAGGGCAGTATGGCACCATAAGTGTTACACAAGGGAAGCATGGCACCATAAGTGTTACACAAGGGCAGTATGGCACCATAAGTGTTACACAAAGGCAGTATGGCACCATAAGTGTTACATAAGGGAAGTATGGCACCATAAGTGTTACAGAAGGGCAGTATGGCATCATAAGTGAATTGAATTGAAACAGTTTATTTAGCCAGGAAAACACAGATACAGAGTGGATAATAATAACATGGCTGAGCCAGTTGAGAACCTGAGCTCTCTTTTAGGCACCTGATATATGCTATATATTTATCTAAAGGAAGTATCATGTAACATTTAGTAATATCTGGTAATATCTGGAATAGTACAATAGCATGGTGGTAATAAGAACATCTCATAATGTTACCACGGTTATCACTTCAATATTTATTTATTTTATTTATTTATTTTATTTTTTATTTATACTACAGGTTGTACCTCTCTAGTCCGGCAACCTCGGGACCTGACCGGTGCCGGACCATGGAAATTGCCGGACCATGGAAATTCACCCTTTTCCTGGATAGATAGTGACTTGTGCTTATGCTTGGAAGCACAGCACCACTTTCTCTGCATCATGGTCTCTTTAAAGACATATTGAAGGGTTAAATGTCGTATAGTAGCTTCTCAAATTTCGCGAGTTTTTAATTCTTAACGTATTTTATTGGAACAAAAAATAAAAAAAAGTAAAAATTTTGACGGCGGAAACTTGAATTTCGACGGGTTTGAACGGCCCGCCAACGTGCAGACGACGGGCATAATCGTGTAAACAGCGTCATTTCTCTTATGTACAAAAGATTCATTATTGTTTATTACTGAATGTCTTTTTTATTGAATTAATGTTTATGTGTGCAAAATGAGCAATACAATTCATTAATAATACGTAGAATATTAAAACACACAAGGAAATGACACAGCATTGTTTTCGTTGATTACAAAACCAGTGACTGACTGGTTCTACATATAAAACTGAAGAAAATAAGACCTTGGCTGTAGCTGTAGTAAAATTAATATGGTTGTTTTAAGTAATGTTATGTAATGTTAATAAATGGAAATAAATGGAACAATAGAAGTAGCTAACGATAATGGTAAAGAAAAAAGAGAGATCGCGTATGTAAGTGTGCATGCGCACACGTGAAAACATATCGTCATTACTTTACATACGAATATGAAAGCAACACTTATTTACTGTTCATATATATTTTAATTAATGTTTCTGAATTTGTTTTTATTGAATTAATGTTTGTGTGTGCAAAATTAACAATACAATTTACAAGTATTAATAATACGTGGAATATTAGAGGAGACGAGACGGCTGCCGGCATTGTTTATGTTAAAGCTTACGAAACCAGTGACTGATTGGTTCTACATATAAAACAGAAGAAAATAAGATCCTGATTTTAGCTGTAGTAAAATTAATGTAAAAAAATTAATATGGTTGTTTGAAGTACCTGTAATATTATTTAATGTTAATAAATGGAACAATATAAGTAGCTAACCATTAATGGTAAAAAAAAAGAGTGAGACTGCGCGTATGTAAGCGCACACATGTGAAAACATATCGTTATTACTCTACATAAGAATATGAAAGCAACACTTATTTACTGCTCATATATATTGAAGGGTTAAATGTTGTACTCTGTATAGACAAGCAGAGAGAGAGAGCAGCCGAACTGCCGGATGTAAACAAACCTTAATTTCCCGCGGCTTTGTTTTTTTTTTGTTTTTTTTAAGGGGATTAGTCCACCCGGGCATAGGTCGCTGACCCACATTGGGGCCTGAGGGGCAAAAATTTAATACTCCTGTAATAATAATAATAATTCAGATAAAAAAAAAAAAAGCTGCCTATCTACCTATTGGACAAACTAAAATCATTCCGGACCACGGAAGTTTCCGAACCACAGAATGCCGGACTAGAGAGGTACAACCTGTATAAGTATATACATAAATTAAAGTAGAATTAAAAAACATAAGTACAATGGGGGAGCAGTACAACATGGGTTGTACGGTATTAAGGTTGAACAAGAGGACAGAGCTGTCAGGATTATGTCTAGTTGGCAAATATATTTATTGCAATGGTAATTTCTTATCTACTTACATGATAATTTCCAATAAAAAGGTTTTGATGGTACAATAAAAGCAGGTACAGTATTACCCCGCCTAACGCGGTTTCACTTAACGCGTTTTATCATATACGCGGTGCCTCGCCAGAGCTGAACTTTCACTTAACACGGATTTTTTCCACATATACGCGGTGAGTGTCCGGCTCGAGACGCTATTTTTAGATTTGCCCCACCCGCCACCCTGCCTGTTTTAGCTCATAAAATTCATACAAATTACCCGGTCAGAATATAACTTACATTGCTGGAATTCTTATAATTTGGTGATCATTTTGAATATAAACATCATATATTTTGCATTAGACATACAAATTTAAGATAAAATTTTTTCTCTGAGTAACTATGTTATCTTTTGTGCAAAATATATGACATTTATATTCAAAATATTCCTGGTCTTACAAGGAATCCAGCAATGTCAATTATATTATCCTAACTTTAGTTTGAGGTATTATTTATTACAAAAAAGTTAAGTATTCTGGTTTTCCCACACATCTCCTTGGGACGGTTGGTGGGGGGTGGGGGGAGGGAGGGACCGACCGACCATCTGTTACCCTGTGAAGAATATTTTTTTTTTTATTAACTGAAGATATTTGTTTTAGCTCATAAAATTCATACAAATTACCCGGTCAGAATATAATTTACATTGCTGGAATTCTTATAATTTGATGATCATTTTGAATATAAACATCATATATTTTGCATTAGACATACAAATTTTAGATAAAATGTTTTCTGAGTAATATGTTATCTTTTGGGCAAAATATATGACATTTATATTCAAAATATTCCTGGTCTTACAAGGAATCCAGCAATGTCAATTATATTATCCTAACTTTAATCTGAGGTATTATTTAATACAAAATGTTAAAATTTATTTTTTTCACCCCACATCTCTTGAAGGGAGGATTGGTGGGGGGTGGGGGGGAGGGTTGGGACTGACCGCGCGGTTGGAAGAGGGGGGAGGCAAGGTGGGGTACTTTGATTGACAGATAGTGTCGTGAAGATTATTTTTTTTTTATTAACTGAAGATATTTGTTTTAGCTCATAAAATTCATACAAATTACCCGGTCAGAATATAATTTACATTGCTGGAATTCTTATAATTTGGTGATCATTTTGAATATAAACATCATATATTTTGCATTAGACATACAAATTTTAGATAAAATTTTTTCTCTGGGTAACTATGTTATCTTTTGTGCAAAATATATGACATTTATATTCAAAATATTCCTGGTCTTACAAGGAATCCAGCAATGTCAATTGTATTATCCTAACTTTAGTTTGAGGTATTATTTATTAAAATTTAGTGGTTTTCCCCCAAAAATTTCTCGGAGAGGGAAGAGCCGGCAGTGTAGTGTGAGAGGGGGAGGGAGTTGAGTCCATTATTTGAATGGACATTAACTTGGCGACTGTATTTCTCTATTTCTCTTAAGTATTAATTGTGTGCATGTACCATCATAAAATTAAGATGTTATTTTTACTACAACATAGTTATGTGTCTTCAAAAAGTGGAGTTTGGGGGTCGGGCCGGTTTCTATTGGAATTAATCCCATATGTTCTGTTGTTCACTTAACGCGGATTTCACTTAACACGGGACCCTCTGGGTTCTATTGACCGCGTTAAGTGGGGTACAACTGTACTGTAATTATAGTACATATTACAAGAGATATTAATACTTCGACAATAGGTATTTTTTAAGAGATGATTTAAAGGAAGGGAGCGTAGTCTTTGCTTGGATGGGTGGGGGTAAGTTATTCCACACCTTCACACCATGATATTTTATGGAGGTCTGGGACTGAGAGGAGTGCATGGGGGGTGGTCTTAGTAGCTCTGGGTGCCTTAAGTTGTGTCTCTGATTATTCCGGAACTGGAAATAGTTATTGTCAAGCAAGTGATTGATAGATTTGTAAACAAAGAGGGCACAGCAGTAGGTGTTAATATCCTCGAATTTTAACATTTTCAATATAGCAAATTTTTTGTTTGTGTGATCTGTTTATTTCAAGTAGGTCATTGTCCGTACAACTCACTTTTGTGTAGTAACCAGGGATTGTGTTTTTGAAGAGCCAGAGGCTCCCATGGTGTGTGACAGTGTATCAGGTGTTGGTAAACAAGATCATGATAGATTTCTTTCATTGCTGCGAGTGAGAGACTGTCGAGTGTGATACATGATACCGCACTGTTTATTGACTTTACTGCGAATGGCTTGTATGTAGTTTCTCCAGTTAAGTTTCTTATCAACAATAACTCCGATAAATTTAGTATTTTATTCGCATTTGAGAACTGTATTACAAAGGTACAGGGGGTCCAAGTCTGGGAGTAAGTTTTTCCTTCAGTGAAAGATCGTGTAGTGGGTTTTCTCAAGGTTTAAGTTCAGTTTATTACGTATTACCCAGGTCCTGACTTTAGTCAATTCAGTGTTCATAGTTCTCATCAAGGAATGGAGGTCTGAGTTGCTGGCATAGAGATTACTATCGTCTGCAAATAAGTTGCATTTTATGAGTGTGCTGGAGTGGACTATGTCGCTTATGTACAACAGAAACAGTACTGGACCGAGAATGGAACCTTAGGGGACGCCATACAAGATTGGTGAGGAATCAGATTGTTGATTATTATAGCAGACATACTGCTTCCTGTTGGACAGATATGAGGTAAACCAATTGTGGGAC